CTTATCTTGCTTCAACATGTCTTCTTCTTGCACGCAGTATGAAATGAGCTCATTTAGAGTCCATTTCTCCTTTTGACAGTTATAACTCCTTTTGACAGTTATAACTGACCTTAAACTGATTGAATTGTGCAGGAAGAGACAACAAAACCAGATGCACCAATAACTCATCACAAAGATCGAGTTTAAGTGCCTTAAGCTTAGAAGCAATATGAGACATTTCCATAATATACTCCATGATATTTCCTTTGCCCTTATACTTCATTGAAATCAAGCGAGCTAAGAGCGTGCTTGTTTCTACCATATCGTTTTTCACAAAACGCTTCTCAATTTCGGTAAGGAAATCTTTAGCCTTAGTAATCCCTAAGGATTCTATGCCCCCGAAGGCTTTCGGAATGCTACGCTTAATGATTATAAGACTCATGCGATTTGAACACTCCCACTTCTCATACTCCTTCTTTGCATCAGGAGTGCTATTCGTATTAAGAGGTTAGGATTGTTTAATTCTTAATGTAAGGTCTAGATCCATGCAGCCAAGAACAATTAATATGTTCTCTTTCTAAACCTTGAAGTTTGTCCTATTTAGCATGGGAATTGAGTTGATGTTAGCAGAAATTGTTGCAGTAGATGCATTAGCTGAAATAAAACAAAAATGCTCACATCAATAACCATAATTAGTAATCAATAAAATTCAAATAATGACGAATCCCATCCAAGATATCTGGCACAACATTAATATCAAGTTTTTGGACATTAATATTAACTTGTAAGTGATACCTTGTTGCAATGATCAAACATTGACAATAACTCATGTCAAATAATAAAACTATCTTTGGATCGACTCATTATTCACATGTAAACCTTATAATTGTCACACGCTTATCATCGCAGATGTATATACAGTCTAAATAAATATTAATCTTCCTTTGGGCCGATTAAATATTTACACGTAAGCATACACACAAACATCTCATATTCCTCATAAACAATCTACACAAGAGAGGTTACTTTGGCAACTTCTTATTTCAATTAATCAATTAGAGTGAGAGACAACCTTAATACATTAGTGTCATAATATTTGAATTAAATAATTGATTAAAAACCAAATTAAATTTAAATTAAATTAATTTAAATTTCCATAGCTTAAATAGGGCCCATAACTTAATTGAATAAATTAAGTATACCAAAGTGGACCCATAATTTAATATGAGAAGCTGAGGCTTAACCATAGTGAACACGAAGTTCGCTTGACTTCGAACGCGAGGTTCTTCTGTATTGAGTACGAGACTCACCTAAGCACGAACGCGAGGTTCGTCTGAAAATGAACGTGATGTTCAACTTGAGAACGAACGTGAGGTTCATTTAAAAAATGAACGCGAGGTTCGACTGAAAATGAACACAGGGTTCAACTTGAGAATGAACGCGAGGTTCGTTTGAAAAATGAACGCGAGGTTCGTCTGAAAACGAACGCGAGGTTCGACTTAAATTGAGTGCGAGGCTCACCTGAGAACTGAGCGCGAGGCTCACTTGAGAACTCAGCGTGAGGCTCACCTTAGAACTGAGCGTGAGGCTCACCTTAGACCGAACACGAGGTTCGTTTGATTTGAGCGCGATGCTCACTTGAGAACTGAGCGCGAGGCTCACCTTAGAACTGAGTGCGAGGCTCACCTTAGAACGAACACGAGGTTCGTTTGATTTGAGCGCGATGCTCACTTGAGAACGAACGCGAAGTCGGTTAAATTGAGCGCGTGGTGGAGGCTGTCTAAAAATCACAATGGATAGCTGATCCCTATCTAGCTCCTACGATGGAAGTCACAATCAGATGGCTGTCTAATCACTGTATTCGCAATCCCACAATCGCTACAAACACGGCCTCATTTCTGAGATGATTGATCTTGATGGTTGCGACAACAACATGACTAAGATTATATTAGCAACTATTAGAGATGCTGATAAACAGTACAATGATTTCAGAAATAAAAGGTTGGACGTAGTTGGTGAGTTGCTTGGTAGAGAGCTGTGGGCAAATATTCATCTAAAAACACTATGGATGTTGATTCCCGTCAAGTTCCTACAACGAAAGCTACAATCAAATAGCTTTCGGGTCGACAATCGAAAGCGGCAAATAAAGGACTTTTCACATAGATCGAGAAGAGTTATAATTCAACAACACTTCCGACAACTGATGAAAACTCTATTCAGCAGTCTTCACATTCTACAGTGAAAATTACAATCTGACGACTTTCACACCCTACAACAGGTAAAGCTAGGATTACTGAACAACGGTCCTCGCAACGCTTCACAGAAGAAGTTACAAGTAAAAAAGCTCCTTCTGAAACGCGGATGTCATCCCCGCGTTATAATTCTGGAAATGCAGGCGACCCTCGCATTTCCAAGCCACCCGCGCGTTCGTAGGGGTTCAACCAACACCGACCCCCGCGTTTCCAAGCCACAGACCAAACGTGAGTGACCCTCACGTTCGTAGGGGTCCAGCCAACACCGACCCCCGCGTTTCTAAGCTACAACAAACCAAAACGCGAGCGACCCTCACGTTCATCAATGTTCAGCCAACACCCAACTTCGCGTCTCAATTCTAAGACACGAAGTCGGGTTCTGAACGCCAGATTGGGCGTTTTGACTTGTTCAAACACGAGTCGAACGGTTTCAAAACTGTTTTCCTACGATCTGAGGAAATCACGCCCACTTAGGATCGGATTTAAAGGGCAGTTACAGCCTCTTATCCACCTATAAAAGCGAGTAAACTCAACTGACTTCAGGGTTTGATTTTTCTTGGCTTGAATCGACCATTGGAGGCTGGCTTTCGTTAGAACAGGGAAGCGGCGGGTTTAGATTTTTGGCATCTGAACCGTACGGGTTGGATTCGGAGGATCAAAACCACTCGGGTTTGTTGATTCAGCAACAGCAGCAGCAAAATCCTTGGAGATAGGATTTTTGAATCAAGTTCAGAAGATCAAATCTGAAAAGATTCTTCAACAACAAAATATCAGCTTGGTCATTAACCGAATTATCGGTTCTAACAACTCTATTAACAGAGTTCTAACTCGTTCAGAGTTCTTAAACTCGTTGAAGAGTTACTTATAAAACTTTCCACAGAAGTTCATCGTTCCCACGAGATAGAAGACGGTCGGATCGTCAACGGAGAGCAAATTCGACGCAAGCAATCGAAGGAGGCATTCCATCGCTACCGAGAAGAACCCAGTTTTAAACAAAGGAGAGAATCAAATTCGTTCTCTTCTCTTTTGTAATCAAATTATAATCAGAATCAAAGGAATACAAATTAATTTTCTTTGTTCTTTTCTTTGTCACGTGGCTCACCTGAGAACGAACGCGAAGTTCGTTTGAAGCTTTCAAGTCTCGCCAAAATCTGAGGTAACCACCTCCTTAATTTTCGCCACGTTTTCACGTACGAACCCTTAGGGTTTCAATCTGAAACCTCCGTCGTCATTGCTCCTGCACCCAAAGGTCAAAACCCTAGGGTTTCCTGACACCACTGTCGCTGTTGGAGTCGAGAGTGAGGCCGCCAGCGACGCTACGTAGGCGAGGAGCACGAGACCGATGACCAAAAAACCAAATAGATCCAAAATTTCTCGATTTTATTTCAAAAATAGATCCAGAATCGAAAAAAAAATTCGTGATTCAGATCCAAGAAAAAATTCCAAAATGGTACTGTTCACGACGAAATTTGTTACTGTTCATCCGAACGTTACTGTTCATCCGAGAACAATTCTTAATCAAAACCAGAGATTTTAAGATCAAAAACCCAATTTTTTTAAGAACTTAAACCCCTAAGAATTAATCACATATTTCTCTGATACCACTTGTTAGATCTTATAAAAACTTGAGATCTAAACCATAAAGCCATGATTAATTCAAAGAGATTTACAAGAATCAAAAGAAAAGAGCGGAAGTTTATACCTGAATCCATAGATTAAACTTGAGATGAGTTTTGGATCTTCTAACCTTAGGGTTTCTCTAGCTAAATTTTTCTCTAGATGGGGGTGAAGAAAATTAGAGAATATAACTCTAGATTAGGGACCATAACCCCTTATTTATAGATGTTGTACATTTGCAATTTGGCCCCTCATCAAATCACTTATTTATAGATGTTGTACATTTGCAATTTGGCCCCTCATCAAATCACAATTACAACCTGGTATCTGCACATATAACCCCATGATTATATTTAAATACCCATTAACCCAAATTGATTGATCACTTTAGTGGGTTGTCCTGAAGGATAGCAATACACACAGATTAATCATATGTGCCCACAAATAGATTTAATTAGATTTAAATCCAACAGTAATTACCTTCTACTTTCTTGTTCTTGTCATGTCTGCAGTTCTTTAATGTAGTTTGCATTATTATGGCTGTGCATAATCCTTGTAATAGTTGAATATATATATTTTTATGGTATTAGCGAACATGTTATACTTTCTCTCGGGGGTTTAGTGGATTCTGGAGTATATTACTAAACACTATCAGACCATGTATACTACCAAGCTTTGGAACTAAATATTTTCTGAAGCTCAAAGCTTTGATATTCCAATAATGCTTATGAAAGTCTTAAGGAGGAATCTTAAAGTTGGACTGTCATTCTCCAACATTTGGACATGGAAAAACCTTGAAAATCTCTATTGGTTACGGTATCTCTTGATTCTTTCCTGTTGGAAGCATTGTCTAGCATGGTGCCATTGTCTGACAAAAAATACTTGTTAATTATAAGGTTGTTGAGGCTGAGTTTGTTTATGTCCTTATAGAATTTCCCTTCCGAACAATGTCATAGAAAAATATTTAAACGAATAAGTCATAGCGTTCGTTTAGATTTTTCAGTAGATATAGAATTGTTCATGGTTATATGTTACTGTGTAAAATATTCCTAGAGTTCTTCTCCAGCTGGAACCAATTCAGTATGAAGATAAAAAGTACTAAATTAAGCATTACGTATTGCCCTTCTGACTGAACTTAGTATCACCTTACAGATTCTGGAGCTTGGAATTGTATCACATTCTGTGATCATTGGGCTATCTCTTGGTGTATCACAGAGCCCATGTACCATCCGCCCCCTCATTGCTGCTCTCTCCTTCCATCAGTTCTTCGAAGGTTTTGCACTTGGAGGATGCATCTCTCAGGTATATATTGATCATTAATTATATAGGGATTGCTTGTTTTGGTACTTGAAATTGTGATGGTTAATCTATCCTACCCATTAAGGGGAGTGTCCCTAGTTTGTAGGAGTCCATGTTAGTGGAAGAAGTTAGAAGTTAGTGGATAATGTTAGTGGAAGAAGTTAGAAGTTAGTGGATAATGTTAGTGGAAGAAGTTAGTGGATAATGTTAGTGGAAGAAGTTAAAAGTTAGTGGAAGAAGTTAGAAGTTAGTTAGTGGTATGATCTTATATATATGTAAGCAATCATGTAACTTTTATGCATGAAGAAGAAAAACTCCCTGCTCAAAAAATTCGGCTCTCTCTCCCTCTCTCTCTCTCTCTCTCTCTCTCTCTCTCGTGTTTTGTGACAAATCTCGGTAGGTACTTAGGCCGATCCCAATTCAAAGCCATCAAATGGTATCAGAGCGCAGTGTATGCCTAAGTTTCAACCGAGATCTGAAGATATAACGAGTGCGGAGAAGATGACGACCAAGGTGGGTTCGCTCACTCATCAATACCCGACGCTATCGAGAGATAACTAAGCTTCGTGGGCAATCAAGATAAAAGTCTACATGAAGGCTCAAGATGTGTGAGACGCTGTTGAGGCCGCGACAGACGTGACCGTGGAAGTCAGGAAGGATCAGATGGCGTTGGCGGCCATCTATCAGGGGATTCCTGAAGAGACTTTGATGGTGATTGCAGAGAAGCAGACGACAAAGGAGGGATGAGAGACGTTGAAAACAATGCATCTAGGAGCGGACCGTGTGAGGAACGCGAAGGTGCAGACCTTGAAGTCCGAGTTTGAACTTCTCCAGATGAAGGAGAATGACAACGTCGACGAAATTTCGACGAAATTGACAGGAGTCGTCAACAAGATCCGGACTTTAGGCGGCGAGATGCAGGAGAACTATATCGTCAGAAAGCTACTTCAAGCGGTACCGGAGAGGTTTCTTACTATCATCTTAACGATTGAGCAGTTCGGGGACATCGACAGCATGACACTCGAGGAGGCGATCGGGCGTCTCAAGGCCCACGAGGAGCGGACACGTGTTTTTTGAGACAATATCGACGACCACCTATTGTTGATGCATGCGGAGTGGCAAGAAAGGGGCAAGAAGAACAGTGGAAACTCCTTCTCAACATAGACGATTAGTGACGGCAGTGGACGAGGTCGACGTAGCTCGCCAGGAGGGCGAGAGTAGCACAAACGGTGGTCAAGACAAATCCAACATCAAGTGCTTTGATTGCGGAGTATATGGACACTTTCAGTCGGAGTGTCACAAGCAACGCCGTAATCACGATCAGGAGGCTCATCTCACCCGAGTCTATGACGAGGAGCCAACCTTGATGATGACTGTGTTAGAGGAATCATCCACTGTCATCTTGCTTAATGAGGAGAAGGTGGTGCCGAACTTACTCACAGCCGGGGAGACACAAGTTGACAATGACATTTGGTACCTAGACAACGGAGCTAGCAATCACATGACCTGACACCGAGGCAATTTCAAGGAGCACAACAAGAACATCACCGGAACCGTCAAGTTTGGTGATGGATCGACGGTAGAGATCAAGGGGAAAGGCTCTATCCTCTTCCAGTGCAACAACGGCGATCAAAGGATACTACCTAAGGTATATTATATTTCGAGCTTAAAATCCAATATCATTAGCCTTGGTTAGATGACTGAAGATGGAAGTAAAGTTGTTCTTGCTGATAAGTTCTTGAGGGTGTTTGATAGGAACAGTGCTCTCTTGATGAGGGTGACACGTTCAACTAACCGACTATACAGGATAGAGTTGAAGACATGCAGGCCGACATGTTTGATAGCAAACATTGATGATCCAGCTTGGTTGTGGCATACTCGCCTTGGGCATGTCAATTTCTTTGCCCTCAATATGATGACCGACAAGAGGATGGCTTCTAGGTTGCCAAAGATTGTGCACCCGAACCAAATATGCGAGGGATGCCTTGTCGCCAAGCAAACAAGACTTCCATTCCCTTTGCAAGCAAATTTTAGAGCTCAGAAGTCACTGGAATTATTACATGCCGATTTATGTGGCCCGATCACCCCATCTACACTTGTTGGTAACAAATATTTTCTCCTTGTTGTTGATGATTTCAGCCGGTGGATGTAGGTGTACATGTTGAAGGCCAAGAGTCAGGCCTGTGAAGCTTTCAAGAAGTTCAAGACTGAGGTGGAGAATGCATGTGGCCACAAGGTGAAGACCCTAAGAATAGACTGTGGTGGCAAGTTCTTGTCAAAGGAGCTTACTCAAGAGTCATCAAGCGTCATCTCACTGCATCGTACACCCCACAACAAAACGGTGTAATGGAGAGACACAATCACACGGTGATGGACATGGCAAGGAGCTTACTCAAGAGTATGCATATGCCAGGAACGATGTGGGGGAAAGCAGTCAGGCATGCGGTGTACTTCCTCAACCGACTACCAACCAAAGCGTTGTGCGATCTCACACCTTACGAAGCTTGGTTTGGTAAGAAACCTCATCTAGAACACTTGAGAACATTTGGATGTGTGGCATATGTGAAGGTTGTAGGAGCTTATCATAAGAAACTTGACGACCGGAGCACGTCAATGGTGTATATTGGCATAGAAGAAGGGAGCAAAGCACATCGCCTCTATGATCCTCAACACATCAAAGTTCATGTAAGCAGGGATGTTGCGTTCGAGGAAGGAAACGAATGGGAGTGGAGTGTAGACGGAGATGAAAGACCACCCAACTGGGTGGAGTTCACGATGGAAGGGGAATCAGCAGCTGGCCGATCCAGCTCACCGACAGCCGCCGGCCCAGGTGCAAATGCTGAGGCAGCGAGTCCCGCTGCATCGGAGGCGTTCGGAACACCGGGCACTCCTATCTCTCAAGATGAACCTATGCGCTACCGTTCCCTAGCAGATATTTATGCATAGACAGAGGTGGTTAACCTTCCCACAGAGTAACTATTTCTGGCCACTGAAGAACCCATGAGCTATGGTGAGGCTGCAACAGAGTAAGAATGGCGGACAGCCATGGAAAATGAGATGGAGGCCATCGAGAAGAATAAGACTTGGGTACTCACGGAGCTACCGCGGGGCTCCAAACCCATTGGCCTCAAATGGGTGTACAAGCTAAAGAAGGATAGTGATGGCAACATCCTCAAGCACAAGGCGAGACTTGTAGCGAAGGGCTACATTCAACAGCATGGCGTGGACTTCGATGAGGTGTTTGCACCTGTGGCGAGACTTGATACCATCAGGATGATCCTTGCTATATCAGCACAACGTGGATGGGAGGTGCACCATCTGGATGTCAAGTCGGCATTTCTAAATGGTGATCTCTAGGAAGAAGTGTATGTGGTCCAGCCTGAAGGGTTCGTTGTGAAGAAGGAAGAACACAAGGTCTACAAGCTTTCTAAGGCGCTCTACGGTCTACGCCAAGCACCAAGGGCGTGGAACACATGACTTGACAAATGCTTGAAGGGCATCGAGTTTGTAAGGTGCTCTCAAGAGCAAGCGGTATACACTAGGAGCAACGGAGGGGGTGTACTCATTGTTGGTGTGTACGTGGACGACTTGATCATTACGGGCTCAAGTGCGGATGAGATCAGGTTTTTCAAGCTGCAGATGATGAAGGAGTTTGAGATGAGCGACCTTGGGCTACTTTCCTACTATCTTGGTATAGAGGTGGACCAGAGAGGTGATTGCATTTCGCTAAGGCAGGCGGCCTACGCGAAGAAGATCTTGGTTCAGTTCGGAATGATGGATTGCAACCCGACCCAGTATCCTATGGAGGCAAAGCTAAAGTTTTAAAAGGACCCTGAAGTAACACCGGTGGACATGACACAGTATAGACGAGTCATTGGATGCTTGAGGTATCTAACTCACACCCGACCCGATATCTCTTATGCCGTGGGGATTGTGAGTAGGTACATGGAGAAGCCTACAATTGTGCATCGTCAGGTGGTCAAGCACATTCTGAGATACGTAAAGGGCACCGTGGCCTATAGATTAGTGTACAGACAGAGTCGATGCAGTGAAGAATTGGTGGGATTTACTGACAGTGATCTTGCGGGAGATGTTGATGACAGACGCATCACAGGCGGCATGACATTCTATCTAGGTGACAGTCTGGTCACTTGGACATCACAGAAGCATAAGACGGTGGCATTATCCTCTTGCGAGGCTGAGTTCATGGCGACAATAGCTGCAGCATGCCAAGGTATGTGGTTGAGGAGCTTAGACAGCAAAGTGACCAAAAGTGAGCCCAAGCCGGTTACTCTCTTCGTTGACAACAAGTCCGCGATTGCCTTGATGAAGAATCTAGTATTCCATGGAAGAAGCAAGCACATCGACACACGTTTCCATTTCATTCGTGAGTGTGTTGAACGAGGGCAGATTAAAGTGGAGTTCGTGAGCACGAGCGAGCAGCGAGCGGACATTCTCACAAAGGCACTAGCAAGGGTGAAGTTCATCGAAATGCGGGACCTGCTAGGAGTAAGGAACTTAGACTCTCGTCCAGATTAAGGGGGAGAATGTGATGGTTAATCTGTCCTACTCATTAAGGGGAGTGTCCCTAATTTGTAGGAGTCCATGTTAGTGGAAGAAGTTAGTGGAAGAAGTTAGAAGTTAGTGGAAGAAGTTAGAAGTTAGTGGATGATGTTAGTGGAAGAAGTTAGTGGATAATGTTAGTGGAAGAAGTTAGAAGTTAGTGGAAGAAGTTAGAAGCTAGTTAGTGGTATGATCTTATATATATGTAAGCAATCATGTAACTTTTATGCATGAAGAAGAAAAACTCCCTGCTCAAAAAATTCGGCTCTCTCTCCCTCTCTCTCTCTCTCTCTCTCTCTCTCTCTCTCTTTTTTCGTGACAAATCTCGGTAGGTACTTAGGCCAATCCCAATTCAAAGCCATCAGAAATCATGTTCCTCCAACTACATAGTATTAAAAAAGGATGCTTGATTTTTTTTCAGGAAAGAAAACGACGCTTGGTTAATTAATGTTTCTGCAACAACATGTTTACTGAAATTCCGGCCTCTAAATCAATCATGCAGTTGCAGTTGCACTAAAAATGAATGTAGTTGCAACTACATATTAGAAATTGTATATAACAGCAACCACATTATTTTTGGTCTTATCACGTTTCAACTAGGCTTATTTTTTAAAAACAAATGCGTAGAAAACTAATTTACAACTACACGTTTTAGTTGCAACTACATTTTAAACTCTAAATTATTTGGTTATAGCTGCACTAAAAATGAGTGTAATTGCAACCAGTTTTTATGGTGAAAATTGCATGAAAATAGACTAAAAATAATTAATTTATTTTTAACAGTTTGATAACATAGTTTGAGAGCATGTTATCCAAGCACTGTATTGCAACTACAACTCTTATAGTCGAAACATTAATTTAGACTGTTTCATCAAATGTGAACAACCAAAAAGCTGATCAGGATTAGTCTAATCGATCATCATTATTCGATCATTATAGGCGCAGTTCAACAACCTCTCAGCAGCACTAATGGCGTGCTTCTTTGCAATCACAACTCCAATGGGGATTGCAGTAGGAGCAGGGATATCATCGGTATACAATGCTAAGAGCCCTAGGGCACTAGTGGTGGAGGGCATATTAGATTCAATATCAGCAGGGATTCTAATCTACATGGCTCTTGTAGACCTAATCGCTGCAGATTTCCTTAGTCGCAGGATGAGCTCCAATGTCCGGCTTCAGGTGGCATCATATATTGCTCTCTTTCTCGGAGCCCTATCGATGTCCTCCCTTGCAATATGGGCTTAGCAAAGTGTAAAATATATAGGATGCCTCTGTATATTCATAAGATAGGTACAGTCACGGGATAACGGACTTCGTGCGCCTTCCGATGGTGATCCCTTTCATATAAACACTGGAATATAAATCTTATCAGAATATATGGAGTGGAGTGTTCTGAGCCATAAAAGAGGCAATCAAGGAAAACCAAATTGCCCCTCTATTATTCCGGTGAATGACTGAGACCATCCTACTCGTACGCAGGATGATCTGCTAACTTTGTGCTCTACATTGGCGGAGTGGAAAATTGCACTCTTGTCGTAGTGTTCCAATGTATATGAGAAGATTTGTGGCTCTCTCCAGTTTTTATTCTAGAGTGAGAATCTCTCAAACTCTTGTTCGTCTGTATTTGATAAGTTATTACACATTTAATTAAGGCATCATATTTTTTTTCTTATGTGTGGTGAGTGGTTGTGCTGATGAGAGCATCTAGCTATATGTTTGGTTAATGGTTTGAATTGTGCATCTCTTTTATGGGAAATTTGTATTCTTTCGGATGTATATATCACTAGAATTAATCCTGCTCTAAGAAAACCTTCAAACTTTTCTACATGCTCTTTGCGAAATTTACCTGCTCTTGGAGCATTTTATTATATTTTTTTGAGGTACACATCTCTAAATAGGATCATAAACTTTTTTTTTTGGGGGGGGGTGTCTTTTGTCATATTAATTATATCCTAAACTATTTCTTAGTTTTGTAGTAGTCCCCAATTCTTATGTCTAATTTATACCTCAAATTTATTTAGTTGTCTAAATGGCACTTTCAAAACTTTAACATAGTTAGTCTTTAAAGTCCTTTACTAATTTTATTAGGTAGAGGGTGAGCCTTAGCGTATCGGGAAAGGTTGCTGCCATGTGATCTGGAGGTCACAGGTTTGGATATCATAAATAGCCTCTCCGAGCCCACAACGGTAGGAGGCTCATGTGTCACGAACCGCCCCATTTTGGCTCAATTGAGTGCATTTGGACTCACTTATTCATGGTTAGGTCTATGAAGATCCTAGGGTTTTCTAGAGTTTTCTTGCATAATAAAGATATGATAAATATCTTGTATCTAGATCGAAGATTCTAGGAAAGTCCTGTTAGACCCTAGAGGGGGGGTGATTAGGGTCTTATGCTAATCTAATTTGATTTTATGTCAATTAAAACTAATAACAAGTTGTCCTAGCAAGTGTGAAATACAACAAGATATATAAGCTAGGATAAGCAATATAAACAAAGAGATATACCCTAGCAATGAGATATACTATGAGATATATGCAAGGATATACAAATTAACATAAGGGTGAAATAAACATAAACAAAACAAGAGTGATAGTGTGCAAATAAACAATGCAAACACACAATATGATCACGGAGTTCGGACATTCTGTCCTACGTCTCCGCTCCCCACTCCCGGGGAGAAATCCACTATCACAACCGGGTTTTCTATGCTCACCCGAATAACATTTACACCTCACACTACGGTTTTCTAGTTTACCGAAAACTCTACAATAAACACTCTTGCAATCCAACTCTACACCCTCTCAAGTGTTGGAACTAGACGTGTCTCCCTCAAGTGCTCGGATATAACCTCTCCCTAGGTTCGTTAACCGACGTCACTCCTCTTGGGACAATCCCCGACTCTCGCCACACACTTCTCTCAGTGTACAAGTGTATTACAAAGTGATTCTCACGATAAGCACAATTACAATAAATGGTTGTTCTCTAATATGGATGAGAACACAATGAAAGATCACACTCAATTATTACAACTCTCACCAACCCAAATATATTATGTATAAAAATACAATAAGCTCAAATGGGTGTGTGTAAACAATGAGTGAAATAAAATCTAAACTCAATATAAAAATTAGCTTTAAAGAATGATAATCAAATAAATATGCAAATGTAAAGCTAGATAAGAGTTTAGAAATGTTTCTTTGAAAAACAAGATGGAGAGATGGATTAAGATGAAGCTCAGTCAATGTAGATGATCTCCTCCACTTGTGTAAAACTATTTCCCAAACAAAAACTCTTTTAAACAAACACTATACAAACTTAAACCCTTGTTAAACTCTTGTTTAAAAACTTCTTGGATTGCTTGGTAGTTGGGGTTTGAGGGCTTTACATAGGAAGAGAAACCCACAGCAAAATCCTCAACCAAATCCCCCAAAAACCCAAAAAAAGATTTTTCAGATTCTGTACAAAATGAGACGTTGGGCATACGTCGGTCGACAGTGAAAATCTCGCGGTCGACCGCGAGCCACTTTCGAGGCTCAGAAAATTCCAGAAACTTTGACGGTCGATCGTGGCGGTCGACCGTGGGTATTGGGGGGGGGGGGGGGGGGGAGCCACTTTCGAGGCTCAGAAAATTCCAGAAACTTTGACGGTCGATCGTGGCGGTCGACCGTGGGTATTTTTGAGCTGACGGTCGACCGTGGCAGTCGACCGGGAAAGTTACTGTTGGCTCCGCAGGTTAAACACAAAGACGCGGTCGACCGTGGCGGTCAACCGTAAACTGACATATGAGAAAACAGGTTTGAAAGTTAATTTTCTGATTTTAAAACCCTGTTTAAAATATCAAATAAATTCCAAAAATTATGAAACTTTGGGAAATGATTGTAGACATGATAATAAATATGCTACAAAAACTGGTTTTTAGAAAGGACCTCCCAAATAAAAAATATCATCATTTTACAAAATAGTCCAAAACGTGAAAATGTGAACACATGAGTTTTGACATTTTAGCTTAACCATGTTTGGAAACATTACAAAATGATTTTGTAGACTTAATAAAAGATGTATATGATTATTGTTAAGAAGTCTATAAATAAACACACACACACACACACACACACACACACACACATAGAAACCAATAAAATATGTGTGTATATGATATTTGAGCTTAAAGTACTTAACACACATATATATATATACACATAGAAACCAATAAAATATGTGTGTATATGATATTTGAGCTTAAAGTACTTAACACACATAATATAACACCTAAACTAAATTACCCAAGCTATGATCTTGATCTTCAATAAGCTCTTCTTGGTAATCTTACGGATGAAGCTTGAACTTAGATCTTCAACTTGAATTGTATGGCTTCACTCCACAATTCCGCCAACCTCCATTGGATATGATCGTTGAAGCGCAATTCCATCCATCCTCCAACATATTGTTTGCCTAGAATAAATATAAAACACAAACACTAGATAAACAATATTAGATGTAAATTATTTGTAAATCATCATCAAAACAAGAAGGCTAACAATCTCCCCCTTTTAGATGATGACAAACAATTTACAAAAAGGATATATGCATGAAGGGAAATGAATATACAAAGTATAACATATCATGCATATAAACAAGAAAGAATATACTCACAATATTTCTCCCCCTTTGACAACATCAAAAAGGGAAAAAATAAAAGAATGAAGAGAGCGAAAGCTCCCCCCTATAAATAAGCATGGGTGAGTATAACAAAAAATATATATAAGGATTGCTCCCCCTATCAAAATGCCATATGGAGTATATGAAGTAAAGACCAAGGCAAAACATGTGAGCAAGCATAGATGAATATGCTAAATATCACTCACATACTACAAGATATTGAGAACACATATGAATGTACCATTGAAATAATGTGCCACAAAACATAAACATAAAATTCATGTATAAAAATAGATTTATAAAATCAAAAGAGAGGAATATGAGAATCATGCGAAAAGTTTTCAAATAAAAACAAATCAACCAAAAGAAATCATAAATCAAAGTTTATATCCAAAGATGATGTTTGATCAATAAAGAAAATTTTCTTTGTAAAACTTGGTCAAACCACATAAAGAATACATTATAAAGCATATTTGAAATTTGAATCATCTATTGTGCTTATATAATGAATTCAAAAGAACAGATCAAAGCAAAATTTTCATAGTTCAAAAGTAACATACAAGAATCATGAACTATGGACTAAAAATCATCTTTAAGAGTATAAAACCAAACCATCATTGATTTAAAAAAAAATCAAGAGAGACAACCATATCTAGCTCTTGAGCTAGTAACAACCCATATAAACATTTAAGCACCCGGTAAATAAGATTTGGGAATAAACACCCAATAAACCCGGGGGGTTATATAAACACAAACCTCTCATCAAAACAAAATCAATAATTATGAAAACAAAAGAATTGATCAAAAGACTACTGTTTTCATTTACAAGAATTTCAAAACATTTTTCAAAACCAAGACAAAAGAAAAATAAAAACACTAAAATTCTTGGTTTAAAATCAAATTTGTTTTGGTACCCAAGTATTCTTGGTACCAAAAGGTTTAGGGACATGACCCCTATCATTAAAGTTCAAAGCCCTAGGGTTATGAACCCTCTTGGCCGCATGTGGTGCACGAACACGGTCATAACAAAAATTACTTAAATGACCCTTCCGATTGTAATAAGTACAATGGAAAGGAAGCATTTGCTTATGTTGACCAAACGGTTGTGCACGGGAAACATTAGAAATATTTGCAAACATGAATGGTCTTTTAAAATTATTTTGCAAATGTGAAATTCTCTTTAAATCAAAACAAAATTTGACCAAATGACCAAATCAACCACAAAACTCACATTTGTACATATGAGCATGTTTATGATGATCTATATGTGTGTGTACATGTGAGCGTGATGATGAAGCTTGATGGGATGCACAAACATGATTAAGCTTGATGGGTTTTTGTGCATTATAACAAAATCTAGCAAGGTGGCATTTACGACCGCAATTAGTGCATTTATAGACTTTGTTATACATGTGTGCATAGTGTGTAGGTTTCTTAGAAGAGTTTGCATTAGACTTTGCACACAAGTCCATAAGCTTGTTATGATTATCAATGCATGTGTTTAAGGTTGAATCTAAACAAGATATGCGGTTTTTCACATGATTCAACTCATCATTAGATACAACATCATTGATAATAGAAATAGAGCACGTATGGTTATTCTTAAAAGAATCAAATTCATTTCTAATGTATTCTACTTCTAGCATGGCGTTATCTTTCTCATGAGTTAACTTACTAAAGTTTGAAATTAAAGAATCATGATCCAATTTTAATTTTGCATTATTTTCTTTAAGGATGATATTCTCATTAGAAATAGTATCAAACTTAGAAGCTAAAGACTCATGATCGGATTTCAAATTAACATGCTTGCTTTGTAAATCAATAAAATCATTTTGTAATTTCTTGTAGGCATGCAATAATCTTTCACTAGCACAAGCAAGT